ATTTGTTTCCTTAATCTTACACTATATTAACAAATTTGTGTGTTCTTGACAGCATTTGGCATCAGGAAGCGACTTAGCAATGTTCAGACTCTCTGGTCTGCTCTAATCACTTTTTACATTTGATGGTGGAAAATGCTGATCCCACACAAAGTTGTGCTGGCTGCCAATTTCCTCACTGGTCTGGTAAAGCCCATGAAGTTAAGGTTTATTTTGACAGGATGTGTATATGGCAGCACTCTACAGGTAAGAACTGGGCTATTTTGGAGATGGCAGTGAAGAGAGGCTGCTGCAGCAGTGTGTGGAGAGCAGCACAGCAACACTCATCTGGAGTCCCCAGGAACCTCCTTCCTATTCCTCGCCTGAGATTCACCAGGGAAAACAAAATCCTCTTTCTCCCAAAAATCTTGCTTACCACCTTTTCACTTCTGCATTTCTATTCTTTAGCTAGGAGTAATACATGGCTGAGACTGTGTGGGTTTAAGACATAACAGTTGTCTTCTTGAGAATTAGTTCTTTTCCCCTTGGGTAATTTTTAATTCGAATACGAGTCGGAAGCTAATTTTAGTCTCTTCTTCAGCAACAGAGAGCACACAAGAACTTGTCATCTGGAGTCCTGTGTCCTTTGTAGGGTGCGTGACCCAGATTTGCTGCTGCAGTGCTCTCTCAGTTTTACAAAGGAGTTCACTGACTGCAGAGCAGGCACACACACGGGTTTGGGTGGGATTTGTTTGAAGAGCACTCTTACACTGCAATGAATTGAAAGCCTGTGGAGCCTTTGGTTCTTCTAGAACCAAAACACAGCAGGCTGTAGTTCGGCACTTCTGGTGAAACAGCTCTGCCTGCACTCATCTAGAAGAGAATCCCTGCCCAATATAGCCAAAATGCAGTAAATTAAAAATAATCAATAACCTGTGCAGTATTTAATGGACATTCTGGAAGCTGTGCATCTCTCAAGACTCCTCAAACTGCATGTAGATATGACTGACATGATTAAACATTTTGGAAACTATCAGACAACAGCAAAGGAATGGCATGAAAATCCCCTTTAAAATAAAGCCATCAGTTCCTCAACCTCTTTCAAGCTCATTAAAGGGCATCTAAATGGCACTAGCTCCCACTAGGAGTCTTGAACATGACCACAGGATTCCAGGATGCAACAAGAAATGTTAAATCAGAAAAGAGGAAGGTGACAAGGAGGAGTCCCTCCTGAAGCGTTTTTGGTATAGTTTAATTGCCTCACAAAGGGGCTGGCAGCTCCCAGCCTGGTGCCAAGGGCTCCTTGCACAGCTCCTGAGCCCAGAGCAGCTCCGAGCGCTGGGTTACTGCCAGGTTTGTCGCCGCAGCAAGGGCTGGGAGTTCATGTCTCACACAGAGACAAGATACCACCAGTGAGATTATCAGAAAGTCTCTCTCTGAAACAAGATTCTATCAGTTCCCACCACGTGTCCCAAATTAAAGCATAAATGTTCTGGTAGGGAGAAAGACAATCTGGCACTCCATGCCTGACACACAGCAGACCTCAGGCACTGCATATGCACACACAGCATCAGCTTATCTCTAGTCTGCAAGGAAAAGGAGAAAAAATGGTGCTATTTTTTCATTCACACCTTCCCCCCCGAGATCCAGCTCTTGTGGCCGCATTTCCACACTCTGCCAAATGGCAATATCAGCATTTCCCTGCTCACACTGAAATCCTGTCTATTTTATGGCATTCTAAAGGTTCAGTAATGTAAAGTTCCCAGTGTAAACAGTCTCAGTGCACACACCCCCAGCCAAGCCTCTTCCCAAACAACCTGCTCTGACTGGAGATGTCAACACAAGGAAATCATGTCAGAAATTCCTGTGTAATCACCATGTAACAAAACAGGTGGTGCAGGGCAGGAATGATCTTCTAAATGCAGAAAAAAACCAGAAGAACTTTTACCACCCATCCTGAACCTAGCTCAAAAGTCACCTCACAGAGAAATGCTAATGCTGGTTGTCCTCAAGAAGCTCCTCTCAGCCCTTTTCAGTCTCTACTACTTCTGCTCCAATGTTGATAACTCTTAAAATTTGCCTTTGTACACACTGGGGTGAGATAAAGCAGAACTCCTTGCTCTTCCCTGTTTCCCCCTTTCAGTCTCACCTTTGACCATTATCTGGAACCTGCTGATGGAAACAGCCTGGAGACTTTTATCAGGATTGTGACTGCACAAGATGAAGTCTTTATGTTACTTAACTCACATGCCCTATGAATGTTTAAGAAGCTGAGACAGGAAATTCAACTGCTGGAAGCAGGAAGAGCAGCTACTCCAACTGAACGATGGCAGGACCAGAGTGAAAATCTCTGCAAAGGTCCATCTATAAGGACCAATCAGTCATGGTGGTGCTGCAGGATGTTCTCGGAGGAAAAGGCAATAGGGAAAGTTAAATGTGGCACAGGCTAGAAATCACATTAAGTGAAAGCAGTAGAACTCTGCTGTTTTCTGTCTGAATACCAGAATCTCATGAATGAACAGACCTTTGTATCCAGACAAATCACAGTTTTCTCTCTTGGGTCTTCTCCAGATGTTGCTTCAGAGACTCTCAATTCACACGTTTGGGATGAATTACACACACAAAAAAATCACCTTCTATTTATTCAAGAAACATGCACACCAGAGCATCGTGTTAGAGAGATCCAAAAAGCAAAAATGTTCCAATGCTAAACTTCTCCCTTACCCTCCAACAGTGTTTGGTGTTCAAGCAGCATAAAACATCTTGATTTTTGCGGCTGGGTTTTTTTGGTTTTTTTTTCTTGTTGCTTGGAAGTTCAAAAGATTATGGATCTCAGATCTTTGTCTTGCCTCTTAACAGTCCACCTGCCTACCAGCTGTGCTCCACGACTGAAATTAGGGAATCAAACAGTCAGATGTGTTATATTTCACTCTGTGTAATATGTGACAGGGATCAGAAGAAGCCACAGATCAGCAGGTTTTTGCTTCCATCCTGCTGGTCCCCCTCCCTTCAGCACAGTGTTGCTCTCTTAGAAGTGAGGGGCTATCAGTTGAGGGCAAAAGCAAAACGCTTTTATGGACTGGAGAAAGTTCTTTAAGGAAAAAAAGAGAGTTTTGCAAGGCAATGCAAACCAGACAAGTTAGCTCAGCGGAATGAGATGGTGACATGTCTGAGCTGAAGCTTAGAGAATTGTTTTGCTTTAAAGCATCATTATGTTATGTGACTGCAGTTGTCTCTCTTGTATTCAGCAAATGACCTGCACAGGACCATCAATAAGACCTGGGGAAAGACCATACAGAGGCCATGGGAACATATTTCAGCTGCCCAAGTGAAATGAAGATAAGATCAAAGATCCTCAGCATTCACAGAGCTGCTGAGTTCAAGACACCTCACTTGGAAGACAGAGACACACTCAAATAACACACTTGGATACTCCTGGACCCAACAGTCTATTCTTGTTTCTCTGTATTTGCTTTTAGAAAGACAGTCACGGCCACTTAGACATTATGGTCACCAACAGGAGGACTGTTCCTCTCTATCAAAATGCCGCTATTAAAAAATAAATGTGACTTATTCAAAATTCAAGATCAAAACTCGACTGTGGAGTGACTTACTCATAAAAACCTGCCAACTTCTTTGTTAGAGTGCACGGCTCCAAGAGCATTTTTCAATTAGCCACCTCACTGCTCCAAGTCCTTTTTCTACATTCCTTATTTCACACTGCTCTGAAAATGCTGAGCTTCACACTTCCAAGGAACAAGGCAGTCAGCTAGAACAAACGGGCTCAATCTGAACTGCAAAGGCATTACAGCAAACGTGATTTGGGCTGCACTGCTGCAGCACTGCCTGTCCACTTTGACTGCTGTGATTTTTCACTCGATTTCTAGCTATGCTCACAATGAAACTCTCCGGGATCAAGTCATCTATCCCTCCACTCATTGTTTTGCCGAAGTTTCCAAGGCTGAATAAATGAATAATCATAGCTGGTAATGGCTGTGGAGTCTACATTAAAATAAAATAACAAGGCGCCGTGGTCACGCACATGTGCAATCCTAATGAGTGTTTAGCTCCAGTGCTGTTGGCACAGCAGTAAACTGGAAACTGTCATTTTCTCCAATTAACTTTCAGGCTTTCTTCTTTTTGAAGGTGCCACCCAAATGCCAAACTTCCTCAAACCTGCTTTCCAGATCAC